GGATGTTCTACCACAGCAATAGGCCATTTTCGTAATGACTTGTAACCAAGTTTCATGCATAAGTCATTGTGAAGTGCCTCAATACAAATTATTTCATTCACCTGGTAAGAATAATAGTATTTCAATAGACATAATCCAAACTGCATATATTAGTTGTTGCCAGGTTGGACAAACATTATGGTCCGAATTCACAAAGGAGGTTTGTCGACAAACCTCCCTTTGTTTCGCCAAACCTCCTTTTGTTCTTTACAAATCAGGTTTGTAAAAAACGCGTAAAAACGCGTCATATGACGTACGAAAACCAAGGTTTGTCGACAAACCTCCTTTGTGAATTCGGGCCTATGGCTTGACCTACCTAGCAACACTTGATATATGCAGTTTGCATTCTGATTATTGAATTACTATTATTCTTATCAGGTGAATGAAATAATTTGTATTGAGGCACTTCACAAAGACTTGTGCATTAAATCTGGTTACATTACGAAAATGGTCTATTGTTGAGGGTAGAATGAGGAACTGTATATTTTGTCCTCTTTCTTTGTCCGTCATGTTCATTGTGTTACTTCCTGCATGCATGTATATCGTCGAGTGCAATCTAAAAGATTTCTAATTGTAGTCAACATGGGCAGTTGAGTACGTTGACACGCATGAACAATCGGCGTTCGTCGTGTTCTCGTCCACTCATTCTAAAAGTCCCTATTAAGCTATCACAAGTGTGCCCTTTATTTTTCGATCAGATGCCGGGATCATGCTCATATTTCACTTGCAAAGTGGGATTTGAGAATTCCATTTTCCGTTTACGTGGAATCTCTATGGGAAATGTTTTGGTATATCGGTAACGCACTTGACTTCCGACCTCGAGACCCCTGGTTCGAGTCCAGGCGTCTCCAACAATTTTTTTCTTCACTTTTTTTTGTCTTTTTGACCTTTCACTGTACCGTTTCCTTTGAATATTAAAAGAAGTAGAATCGCAAATAATGTAATAAACTAGATGGAATTTTGACTGCGCACAGTCGAAAATGATGCCTCCGCCATAGAGCAATTTAAACAAGTTTGGAGTTTAAATCTCCAGTGGTTCTTGAGATATCATGATAACAATCTCAATGTATGGAATTTCATAAGTTGACCTCTGTGACCCTTGACCTTTGACCTACGTGCTCCAAAATCTAATCAGATTGTCTTCCTATGGTGATACACATATCATTAAGTTTGAAGTTTAAATCTCCAGTGGTTCTTGAGATATTATGATAACAATCTCAATGTATGAAATTTCATAAGTTGACCTCTGTGACCCTTGACCTTTGACCTACGTGCTCCAAAATCTAATCAGATTGTCTTCCTATGGTGATACACATATCATTAAGTTTGAAGTTTAAATCTCCAGTGGTTCTTGAGATATTATGATAACAATCTCAATGTATGGAATTTCATAAGTTGACCTCTGTGACCCTTGACCTTTGACCTACGTGTTCCAAAATATAATCAGATCGTCTTGCTATGGTGATACATACTATCCTTAAGTTTGAAGTTTTTACATCTCATGTGGTTCTTGAGATATCATGATAACAATCTCAATGTATTGAATTTCATAAGTTGACCTCTATGACCCTTGACCTTTGACCTACGTGCTCCAAAATGTAATCAGATTGTTTTCCTATAGTGATACACACTATCACTAAGTTTGAAGTTTAAATCTCCAGTGGTTCTTGAGATATCATGATAACAATCTCAATGTATGGAATTTCATAAGTTGACCTCTGTGACCCTTGACCTTTGACATACGTGCTCCAAAATCTAATCAGATCGTCTTCCTATGGTGATACATACTATCCTTAAGTTTGAAGTTTAAATCTCAAATGGTTCTTGAGATATCGCGCTAACAAACTCAATACAAGGAATTTCATAAGTTGACCTCTGTGACCTGTGACCTTTGACCTACGTACTCCAAAATCTAATCAGATCGTCTTCCTATGGTGATAAATACTATTCCCGAGTCTTAAGTTTAAATCTTAAATGGTTCTTGAGATATTGTGATAACGGTCAAACGGGACGGACGTACGGACGTACGGACGGACGTACGGACGTACGGACGGACGTACGGACGTACGGACGGACAACCCGAAAACATGATGCCTCCGGCACCACCTTCGGTGGCGGAGGCATAACAACCATATTTACTTTATTATTACCCTATTATCACTTGATCCATTACTTTTTGCGTGTAGTCCTGGGAGATGACTTTTTCTCAAATCTGGATTCTACATTCCTGTCTTTTGCGAGCAATATCGCCGTTATTTCCGCTTGGTTTTTGTAGATTTTGGAGTATGTTGTAGCTGAGACTATATGCTATCTAAATGTTCCCTCATTTTTTTCAATCAGATGTCATCATGGTCTGTTGATGATGATCATCAACATCATCATCATCATCATCATCGTCATCACCATTACTATCAAGATCATCGTGACGTCCTCGTGACAAATTAAATTCTAGTTTCTTATTATATCTATTGTTTTATTTCTAATGTATTCTTTTGTTCTGGAATACATCAAGTTAAGCCTCGGTCACAAATGCCATTACGAACTGCTACGAACGCCATACGAACAATTTTCAGACAACGGAAATTCGGAAGACAATGGAAAAACAAGGAGATTCGTACGAAATTATCGTTCGTACGAACCTTTGTGACCGTAGCATTCCTTTGAGAAACATATAAAAGCAATTTGATATCAATTCATATCTCGCCCTTAAGAAGAAATACATCTACACCTGTATTTATACAGTGCGTCCCAGAAAAAACGAAACCAAGAATTATCGATGTTTTATCATAATGTAATCACAATTATAATTAATAAATGACACATATTTGGAAAGCTTAGATCTTCCTCTTTCATTTGATGCAACTCACATGACTCATATCTCACGCATGAGTGATTAAAAGCAATTTGAAGAGAGGAAACCAAGAAGTCATTTGGCGGGCGATATCTGAATTTTAAAAAGAAAATCATATTTCTAGAAAGTTCAATTTCTGCCCTTTCAAATGACACCTCAATCAGGAAAAATGAGCCAGGAATAACAAAGTTCTGTTTGTTTAAAGTAAGGCTTGCATTTCCATAATTTGATCAAACGAGTTCGTTTTCACTGGCTGCCTGCCGTACCAACGAACAGAGTTGACAAAAGACTTAACTCCATTTTGTTGAAGATCAGCCATGCATCAAGTCTTTCGTCTTCTTTGTGCATGGCTGATCTTCAACGAAACAGAGTTAAGTCTTTTGTCAACTCTCGTTTGTTGCTACGGCAGGTAGCCAGTGAAAACGAACTTGTTTGATCAAATTATGGAAATGCAAGCATTACTTTAAACAAACAGAACTTTGCTATTCCTGGCTCATTTTTCCTGATTGAGGTGTCATTTGAAAGGGCAGAAATTGAACTTTCTAGAAATATGATTTTCTCCTTGAAATTCAGATACCGCCCGCCAAATGACTTTTTGGTTTCCTCTCTTCAAATTGCTTTTAATCACTCATGCGTGAGATATGAGTCATTTGAGTTGCATCAAATGAAAGAGGAGGATATAAGCTTTCCAAATATGTGTCATTTATCAATTATAATTGTGATTAAGTTATGATAAAACATTGATAGTTCTCGGTTTCGTTTTTTCTGGGACGCACTGCATAGCACTTCTTGATGACATGCGCATACTAATTGTTATGTAACACCTTACAGGTATATCCGATTTCGACGAAAATTATATCAAAATGTGCGTAAGACTTGAGGGGAAAAAGTAATGAAATGACAATTCAAAATTCCAAGCGGTTGCAGCGCAATCTTCAGAAATGTCGAGTACAGTAATGTCGAGTACAGTAAGGGTTAAAAAAATAGTAAAAATTTAAACAACTATATTTCAGTTATAGTTTCAGTTTAGCCTATTTCACATTTCCACTTATTGTTTTAAACATTATGAAAAGGAGCTCTATATACTTTCATAGTGGAAGTCAATAACAAGCTGTACATTTGAATGTAACAATCATACAGAAATTCAGACTGTATACAGAAGGTAAAATAATAAAAGAGGAAATTTCTTTTTTTTAAAGCATGGCTTGTAAAAATAGATTTCCTAAATATCCTTATGAATAATATCCCCTAAATCCATTCACAATGCATCCATAATATCAGCAACATGTAGAATAGAAACCATCCAAAGGGCCCTATTTGTGAGTTTATTACATTATGAAATGAGACACGAGTTAAAATAACTCCCTCATTGTTTTATAGATTAATTCATAATCGTAAAACACCTAACAAGAACCAAGGAAAATCATAACAGCAATCTTATCAAAGTAAGAACAAACATAGGAAAACAGCCTGTATCATATTCTGATGCATGCATTTGGAATGCTCTGTCTAATGAAATTAAAAAATATTCATCAACAAAAACTTTTGCCAAACATTTAAGAAAGAACTTGTAAAATAATACAATTTTATAAAACTTAATCATTGATCCATCTGTTGTAAATGTTGTATAATATGAATAGAATCATTATGGCATATTTCAATCAAATTGAATAAATAGCTTTAATGACCATAGTGTATTTATGTTTGAGTTATGGAATTAGTTTGTGTTCTTTGGTGCTTGAGATAACGCGATCACAAACTATTTTTGCATACATAATGAGCCCTGTGACCTTTGACCTTGGATCTCGTGACTCCAAAATCTAATCAGTTCATTGGCTCTGCAAGATACATAAATGACCCAAGTTTGGGGGGAATCCATCAATCGGTTCTTGAGATAATGCGATCACGAGAACGGGAGGTAGGGAGGGACCGACGGACAACCCGAAAACATAATGCATAAAAAGTATATATATATTATTGCTAAAAGGATTGAGAAAATGACACACTGACCACTATCTAATACAAGGGCAAGTAAATGGTTGTATCATACACACTCAATGGAAACTAATAATTCAAGATAGGAGCGTACAAAAATCATTGAATAATTTACCTTTGACACTTATAATGAAGCTGCAAGTAGTCGTCTTGCTGTTGTCTTGGTTTGTAGCCCTGCATTCTATTAAGTGATCCTTGTCAACAGCTAAGGTGGCCATGCCGTTGTCATAGTTACATGAAATATCAAGTGGATCTCCCGTAGGTTCAAGGAATTCAGGTGGATCCCATGTGACCTCTTTTTCTTGTTGGCTGGTGGAGACTTCTGTGTTATTAGGACAGGACACCAGAACTGGGGAAAGCTCATCTGCATTTGTTTTATAAAGAAAGAAACTAGAGTTAAAAAGCGCATCTTTAATCCTTTTATTTTCAAGAGGTAAAATTTAAAGATACCAAAATTCCTTTTATACAATTAGTCATCCGATCAATCATTATGATACTGATGAAAGAGTACTATGAATATACAGTAGGCTTGCGGATGCACCATGTGAGAGAGAGGGTGGATTGAAGAGTCCTGAAAAGGACTCTCAGTAATCTTTCTTGAGGGTGTGCAGTCCTGAAAAGGACTGTTGGTGTAGTCTTGAAAAAGACTGTAGGTTATCTATCTTAGCTTATAGTTATAAGGAGAACTATGGAGAGGATGGGTGGTGGGAGTGCCTCGACCTTTCGAACAGGTTGACTATCCGTCGTCAGGAGGTAAAAAATTAAAGATACCAAAATTCTTTTTATACAATTAGTCTCCTGATGACGGATAGTCAACCTGTTTTAAACATCGAGCCACTCCCGCCACCCATCCTCTCCATAGTTCTCCTTATAACTATAAGCTAAGATAGATAACCAACAGTCTTTTTCAAGACTACACCAACAGTCCTTTTCAGGACTTCATACCCTCAAGAAAGATTACCAAGAGTCCTTTTCAGGACTCCTCAATCCTCCCTCTCTCTCATATGGTGCATCCGCAAGCCTACTGTATATCTACATCACCATGCAAGCCGATACTTACAAGCAGCATACTACAAATATGTAGATATAATGAGCAAGAGTGCCAAACACGCCGTATAGTATATTGTTTGTACCACAATTATAGGGATATCCAACCATTGAACTTCCTTTTGGGCATATGTTCTACTGAAGATAAGTCAGTTCGTAGGTACAATCTGCGCATAGTCAGATCAAAGGTCATTTGTACCAAAATTGTAAAACCCATTGAGATTAATACAGGATTATCGCTCACGAAAGTTACATGTATTTAGTCATTATTCATTTACACTGTATTCACAGAGTCCACATTCTCTGATACACAAGTGGAAGTATTCTTCTCAAACAAAAGGTATTCATAAAGTACCTCCATCACTTTGGCAGTGATTATTCTAATATGCTCAAAGTGGGATCTTACCATGTGTGAAAGATCTGTGAATATTTGGGGGTCATTTGTACCACAACCATCTACCTTACGAACGGGTCTATATCCATCAAGCAAAATATATTCATTAACTTACCTGTACATAATTATTTACCTTGAACATAAATGGGAAACGAGCAGTTGACAGGATTGCTTGCATTATCAGAGAATGTATAGATAAATGTAGTGTCTTGAGTCAGGTTGTATGGAGATGTCAGATCAGATGGTGACGTTGTGACAATGAGGCTGCTACCATCTAAAGAGTCAGTAGCAGTAGGCGGAGTAAACCACACTTGTACACCCCAAGCTTCAGTCCGAGTGACAGTGATGGGAGGCGGACACGATGTCAAGATTGGTGCTGTAATGTCTGCAGATTATCAAAAATAGTTTGATTTCTGTAAATTTAGTGGAATGAATTGAAAGCATTTACATACCTACCGTATGCAAAAACGATTAGACAGTCCAAAATTTTCAGATAGATGATTTAATGACAAACCTGATGAGAATTGCATTTTGGATCAAAACAGAAGTCAAAGAAACCTGTTAACTAGCAAGAGTGAATTGAAGTATCTAAGAACACTCGCAACAGATGAAGTTTACAAGTGGAAATCTAGCGAGAACTGCAAAGGCATCAACAGTTCTTTCAACCTTTTCACTACAGATGACTGAGGGACTAAAACGTCATATGCAGTTCTAAAGTTAGATTAATGAGCAAACTGGAGACATCTGTATTTCTGTTTATTTCAGACACCTGGACCCTCCCAGCAGAGCTGCAGTGGCGAATTCAAGCAATGTGGATACTACCGGAAGGTTTGTAACATTTCTTTAATACAGAAATCACTTAAGCAATGGACTATAGAATGTAGTGGATTCGAGGAGACTATTGGCAAATCTGAAGCCCTCTTGACAACATTTAATAAACGTACTGCAAAATGACATGGACATGTTACATGGGAAAATGGCATTGTAAAATACACCTTTTACAAAACTTTACGAGGGATTGGGAACTAGATGGGATAAGCAATCGAGCTTGTCTTCTCGAACACTTCAAAAAGTGGTGTCCCAATGACCACTAGGTTACATGCAGGGCTCAAATTAATTTTTTGCCCACGGGGGCTCTTCCAAAATAAAAAGAGCCCCCGTGAGCCTTCTCACGGGGGCGCTTTTAGTGCTGACGGGGGCTCTTATTTTAATACAAATTTCCATTGAATTGGTACCCGTGAAACTCCTTGGTATTTTATCATTATCATTTATCTAAGTCGGTATTTTTCCTCTTAGAAATTTACTTGTTACATAGCTGTTATTGACTTTTATCCCCGTGAGGACATTTTCTCCATTTCTTCCCGTTCTGCACATAATTTCCTCCTCATTATTCGGAGCAACCTTATTTACATTCTTTCTTTACTTTTAGTCTTTACCATATCCTTCCAAAACAGAGGGGCGGATCAAGCTTTTTGCTAAGGGTGGGGGGGGGTACCCAAAATACGATGTGGAGCATCGTCCACGAGCCGCGTAGCGGCGAGGCGATTTTTGTTGTTGCTATTTTGAACCCCCGTAAGTGGTGTTTTCCTGGCATCTACTAACATGCGGATCATCGTCCACGAGCCGCGAAGCGGCGAGGCGATTTTTGGGTGCTTTTTTGAACCCCCGTTAGTGATGTTTTCCTGGCATCTACTGACATCTACTAATACTGTGTAGGTCTGGACACATGATAGCATTTTTCTGTGCACATCACATTTTTCCTTGGCAGCGGAAGGGGGGGGGGGGTCAAACCCCCTAAACCGCCTAGATCCGCCCCTGCAACATCTTATGCCTTCTTCCTCTTCTCAATATTGATTTACTGGTCGGGTTACATTATTTGCTGGTCTTTAAGAATCACCAGATTTCAGAGGATTCAAACTTTCACAACGAAAAACTTCTCCATGTTTCAGTCCTTGCGCGATTGTCGATCACCAGCTCCAGCAGATATTGGGCGTCAGCGTGCACACCGGTACTACCAGCGCAGTATAGCCACTGTGCTGACGGCCGCACCGCGAGCTTCCGTTGTTTGTATCGGGAATACTCGTAGAGATGGTAGAGAAAGCGCCATCTAAGTTCTATTTCATTGGTTTAAGGTTTGAAAATTAATACTCAATATTGTGTTAAAGTTATATCAGAAAAGATAATCAGGTGGGCTGTATATAGTACAGACCACCTTATAATTTCGTTAGAATTGCCTTTATTTATTATTATTAAATATTTTTCTTATTTCTAACCACTTTTTTGTGAACAAAATAACACGAAAATGGCTCAATCAAATGCCTTGAAATTTGGCACACATATGTATAGGCATATGTACGAAGCACAATAACGTTTTCAACATTGACCTTCACTGATGACGTCATCTAGGCGCCATTTTGTAAAATTTTACGAAAATCAACTCATGATCATATCTTCATAACCAAAAAGTAATTCTCATTCATATTTATCATGATTAAGGTCAATATCCGTCCGGTTAATTTCAGCTCAAATAATGCGCGCGTGCGCGTACGTCCGCGCGTCAATGCGCGCGCAAAATTTTAAAATGCTCAAAATCGTCTCAAAATCATTTTGCATACGTTTTAGGCCATTCTAAGCATTTTATAAAAAATCGCGCACACGCCCATGCGCGCGCGTTTTCGCGCGTAAAACTATTACATAACATAGAATCACCATTTTTTTTCTTTTATAATATTCCACATATATTTAAAAACAAATTGATACCATGTTTGTCTCTTTATGACTATTAATAACGGAATGATCGACCGTTTAACATAAATCTCGGTGCGCGCGAGCTCTTGTAATACATAGCATATATGGGCAAAAACATGCCTATACAAAATCCATTGTAGCTCTTTAGGATGCAAGGTGACCCCAATTTGTTTTCATATTTTGATAGAGTATGATTCGGAGATATTGTTTCATGTCACATTTGACCTTCAATTAACTCATGACGTCATTATAATGGCCTCCGAACTCAAAATTTCAATTTGCATATTATGACGTCAGCATATTTATGGAAAATTGATTGTATCTCTGTAAATAGTGATTGATTTTCTTCTAAATTTTGAAATGTTCTAGCTGAGACAATTTTCTACAAATGAAGTAATAACAATTGTTAATTTTGACAAAAGCATCATGGCGTATTTTTGTGATTAAAGGAGGCATGTCAATTTTCACATTTTGCGTGTATTCTCTATGGGACATGATTTTTTCTCAAAACTCGATTCTACATTCCCGTCTTTCGCGAGCAATATCTACGTCGTTTTAGCTTCGTTTACGCTGAACTTCGAGTATGTTGTAGATGAGACAAAAAGCTATCTCAAATGTACCCTTTATTTTGTCTCAATTTTTTGTTTGATCAGCCCACCTATACTTGTTCCAAACAAGTATTACAAATCTAGTCTTAATTTTATAATTCCACGGGGGCGATTTTTAATTTTGCAATCGCCCCCGTGAGCAACCTGACGGGGGCGATTATGGAGCTCACGGGGGCGAATCGCCCACCGCCCCCGTGTATTTTGAGCGCTGGTTACATGGGATGATGATGGTGATGATGACTATGAATTATACAATTCTCGCTATAGCCAAACCCCCCAATACCCCAATGTTGACCTCTTGGACGTTCCCCTATACAAATTTAAGTTCGTCGCGAACTCGTATTATGCTCGTGGTAAGCTTAATAAGATCGTTTTTTAGGCTTTAAGCTCGTAACACGCTTCCAGGACGCTAGTAACGATCTTACAAAATGTTGGCGAGCTCGTGCACAAGTTCGCCACGAACTCGCGGGTAAACTGGGGAGCTCGTGGGCGAGCTCGGGGGTAAACTGGGGAGCTCGTGGCGAGCTCGTGGGTAAAAGGGGGAGCTCGTGGCGAGCTCGTGGGTAAAAGGGGGAGCTCGTGGCGAGCTCGGGCGTAAACTGGGGAGCTCGGGGGTAAACTGGGGAGCTCGTGGCGAGCTCGTGGGTAAAAGGGGGAGTTCGTGGCGAGCTCGGGGTTAAACTGGGGAGCTCGTGGCGAGCTCGGAGTAAACTCGGGAGCTCGTGGCGAACTCGGGGGTAAACTGGGGAGCTTGTGGCGCGCTCGGGGGTATATTGGGGAGCTCGCCACGACCTTGGGGGTAAACTGGGGAGCTGGTGGCGAGCTCTCCGGAAAATGGGGGATTTCGCCACAAGCTCTGGGAAAATGGGGGAGCTGACAGGAAAAAGGGGGAGCTCGCCACGATCTTGCTGGTAAACAGGTGATCCAGCTCCCAGGAAAACAGTTGGGTATACAGTGTGAGTCCAAAAAAAGTTTACACCTAAAAAATTGCTAATTATTTAAAAAATCATCTGTGAACAGTAAATTATTATACATCCTATGAAAGAGTGTTTTATCCCGAATCATTTAGTATCATTTTTGTGTGGTATGTGTTCACGCTTGGATGAACAGGAGGCATTGTATGCGAGAGTGCAAAAATCGACTTACGCCAAAGTTGCTTATGTGATGTTTGAATAAAACAATTGCGATATGGGTATTATTTCGGTCATTACAGATCAACATAACAATGAATATAAAATATCAACAAACATTGTTAGTGTGTGTGCGTGTGACTTTGCTTCTGCAAAAAACATATGCAATGCATTTCATTTGATACATTCAATTCATTCTCTCACTCCGCTGATCCCAACATAATACATACTGTAGGCATCACTTTGGCGCAAGTCGATTTTTGCACTTTCACAAACATTGCCTCCTGTTCATCCAAGCGTGAACACATACCACACAAAAGTGATACGAAACGATTTGGAATAAAACACTCTTTCATAAGATGTATAATAATTTACTGTTCATAGATGATTTTTAAAATAATTAGCAATTTTCTAGGTGTAAACTTTTTTTTGACTCACACGGTATACATGTATATATGTATTTTTAAGTTCCCTTCAGGATGCCAATTTCTTTTATTTATTCTATTAATATATGTACATGTATTTTTAAAATGTCTTGGGCCAAGGAAAATAAGTTCCTACTTCCTAGTTTCTTGTCTCCACCAGCATCCTTTTTATGTAATTTTTGTTTTAATAAAAAATATTTATCTGAAGATATCTCTTACCTGAAATAATTAAGGTAAACAAATGCATACTTTATTATTTTGATACATTTTTGAGCCTCTTTGTCAGAACATACATTGTATATGCAATTACATTGAAAGTTCAGAAAATTTGTGTTGAAATTGAAACAATAGCTTTTTCATGCTGAAGTAACCTGTCAAATTACTTGTAAATTTAATTAAATTCTTTTGAAACTTTGAAACATTTATTTGCAGCATACCAGATTGGGAGGAGGGGGGGGGGATTGCCATTTATTC